CGTTGACGAATGAAATTCGTTGGGTGCAGGTACGATGACGGAGAAATAGGAGATATAGAGGAGGTGGGGGAGGAGGGAGGGGGGGGGGTTCATAAGATACAGGATTATTACGCGTCGCTGATTAAGGCGTACATTGTATCACACTTTGGGAGGTTCGCTTTCGAAGTGGGGCCCCGGAGAGAGAAGCGGCTACTTAACTTCTCCGTGACCCCGACGCAGGGGCCGGACCGGGCCCGGCTGGGCCCGCATGCCATAGGGTCGACGTGTTTCTCCAACGACTCCAACACGCGTTGAGGAGGCTCTACTCTCCGCCGCGGAGGGAGGGCACCGTCGCCCCGCAGGAATGCAGATACATGCCGGATACCCGAGTCGTTTTTTACGCGCGTACCGCATGTATGCAGGGATACAGGAATCTGTAGGAAGCCGCAAGGTTTATGTTTATTGAGAAAGAAACGGGGTCTTGGGTGCACCTAATTCTGAAGAAGTTTGCAAGGGGAAGGAGTTTCAACAGAATAATTATAATATTGTAAAGTGCAGTAATCCGTTTAAGATAGTAACAGGGATAAGATAAAAAGATAAGAATTAAGATATAGAATAAAAGAAATAATGAGAATTAAGAGTGAATGAATGATTTAAACTACACAATGAAAAATATTAACGAAGATATACATACGTAACAAATAAATTATTCGGTCTGGTATGGAAAAATATGAATTTAGAAACATTATTCTTGTCATTATATTACAGCGACGGTTAAAATCATCAATATAATTAATATTTCAAAAATTTCAATGAAATGGAGCTTTATTTTGATAAGCTCATTAAATTATTAACACTGTTATTGCGATAATTGATTTCACAATTAATTAGCGACTTTACAATTTCAACGAAACAAGGTTTTATTTTATTTTCTTGCAAAGAGACGACTTATCGCATTGACACATTTAATTACGACTGGATGCTGTGTACTGTTATCTATATGACCGTATCATTAACGTTTAACATAATGAATTTTATGATTAGTTACACGTCTGTAACGACACGACAAAAGTCACGTCTGAGATCTCGCAATAATACTTTTAAACGTCCTAAGTTCTGTTCATGTTCAGAACATTGAAGTTCCGTCATAATAAACTTTTCATAATAAACTTTATCATCAAGTTTCATTTATTGTTTCAATATTTGCGCAAACAAAATTTGCCGGGATAACGAAATTTTCTATTCAAATATAAATCATATTTAAATCTTTATTGCGTGCATTTTATCTGTGCAATATTTTTGTCATATTTTCATGTACAGAGCAAACTCTACTTCTATCTCTCGCAAGCAGGAGAAACACGATTCAGAGAGATATAATTGAGCGCTAACTTAGGTTTAGTACATTCAAATGATCTTCGCAATCGGGCTTTAATCGTGCAGCGAGAGAAGCATGATAATTATTCGCCGGCTGTTTTCATAGCTTCGCCGATTCGATTAGTATTAATCGCTAAAATCGAGCGATGTGGAAGGCTACAAGTACCGCGCCGGTGGCAAAACGGTCCTTTCATAAATCTAACTTGACAGACCTGTAATATCCATTTCTAGTTTCTACCAATGTAGATTAACTTTAATCTCGATTTAACTTACATTTTCGTCTCATATAATTCTAAGAATTAGAAAAAGGTGAAGAATGAACTAAACTAAGATCAAGTTAATCTACATTGATAGAAATAGCCTAAGCTTCTCTTGAAGAATGTTTCACCCGACCGCGATAACGTAACAATTACATTAATCCAAGAGATAGAAATAACGAGAAAATTATTCCGCCAATCCACGCTGCTTACGAGCTCGTACTTCAGCTCGCAGTCTATGTTACTTAATTTTTGCATCCGCTTGCCGATCACGTAATAACTCGTATTTACTCATATTTAATTTGATATTATTTTCTCATCATACCTAATATACATTAATTGAAAAATTTTCATACATCGTTCAAAAATTATTTTGACAGTATTCAGAGTGTAATTAAAAAATTTTATAAATTTAATATGATTGCTACAACTTCAATGAAATTCTCATAACGCAAAATAATAAATGCAGAATACAATAAAAATAAAGAAAGATAAAAAAAAATATAAAATCACTTCGAAAATCACAGAGAAGAGAATAGCTGTGATTTCCAAATTTAAATAACTGAGAGTACGATATGAAATGTTCTTATTATATGCATATACAATTTAAATTAACCCGCAATTTAACGAAATGCCACCTTATTAATAAACGTCCACAAATGTCTGGGCTTAGACAAGAACCGTCAAAAAAAAAAAAAGCAATTGACAATGAGATTCGTTTTCATAGACAGAGAAGGAGAACTTTGAGCTGCCTTTCACGAACTCGATGTTAGAGCAAGATTAAATTAAGTGGTAGGTTCGAGAGAGTTGAGAAGAGAGCGCGGCTTTGTGGTACGCTCGCTCGTTTTATCTTTTCCTTTTTTACGGCCCAAGCTCTCTCGGACCTGAGAGTTTCCCACCCTTCAGACGGCTACGTCACTGATCGCAATGATTCGGTCAGCGGATTCCGCACCCTCGCCACTACCGAGTTGGTCTACTAGGAACGTACCAGATTCCTGCCACCGCATATGCAAATTGACTAACGATCTTTAGTATTCAGATTCTAATAAATCATTTGTCTAATTAGATTCAATAGCAAAACTCAAGAGTTGTCTCTTTATACATAAAGATATTTTTGATAATTCAAAAAACGTTATAACAGAAGATCGTACAAAAATCTGCAAAGCATAATAAAAATTGTTTGCATAAAACAATTATTATTGCGAGTGATATTACTATTCTGTTGTGACAATAGTAACATATTTTTAAATAAAAACAATCCATCTTTTTTCATCACAATTTATCACTGATCGATATGATAATAAATACATTCCATGGGATATTTTCAGGTACAATCTTTTGCTTTCGAGATGTCAACGCATGAACATGAATGCAAATCGACGCGTTTTACAAGAGGAATCGAGGAGGGCATCGGACACGATTCGCACGATCCTGCAGGCCCCGAAAGCTCTCCCTCCAGGTTCCTCATGATGGAATGCAGGTGAGCAGGCAGACTTCGATGCGTGGAGACAGGTTCAGGCAATGTCCGCCGCCACCACCACCACCACCACCACCACTACTGCGTCGTTGGGACCTATGCCCCATTCCAAAGATATCGGATATATTCCAGCGGACACCGTGGACCTTTTCTACAGTGACCGGCCCCACGAGGACGAGTCTCCCTCTCCTCTCACCCCGAGATGACGAATTCGTTCGTTCGGCCAATGCCCGTGTCGAGACTCGCTTGACACGTGGAGCCTCGAAGACGGCGAGAAGTTAAGTCGCTTCCTCGTCGATGGAGCTTCGGAAGTTCGACGACTTCCTCGCCCACGTCGAATGAAAGGACCGTTCAGCTTTCTCTCTCTCTATCTATCTATCTTTCTCTCGAATGAGGGGGCATCGAACTACCGCCTCTCGGAATATCGATGTTAGTTGAACGCCCAGCTTCTCGTCAATGAGTTAGAGTGATTAGATCTTATCGCGATTAAATTGCACTTACATATGTAACGTCATCCTTCAAAGATATAATGCAGTATCAGAAAAAAATATAAAAATAAGAATGAAAATAGTACGTGCAAAATGTATGCGATCTATTTTGCTAGCAGTAATTATTTATGTCTCATCTGCATGAAGTCTCATTTCCCTTATAACTTACGAACTCTTGAAGAAAAAACGTTTCTATTACTAATAAGGAACGTTTGCAAATGTTTAACTTCTTGATACTTCAATCAATGAGAATATATTGAACAAGCTTAGAGAGGATAATATTGTATTACATCCGAGGGGCCATTTAGTTTCCCAATTTAACGTCTCGCGGGGGGTTCCCCTTTCATCCCTTTCATTGGGAGGAGAAATCCTCCCGCAGCCTCGGCTTTTCCTCTTCATTAGGCAAGAGATGTCAGTTCAGAAGCTCATCCTTTCTCGCGTCGCTCAGGGAGGTTTCAGTTACCGTTCGGTAGCTCTAAACGCTATAATTACGTCGGTGCTTCTGGGAAGTCAGTCCCGCGGACTTCCCGTTCCAACTCTCGGACGCGTAGCTTTCTCTCTCTCTCTCTCCCCCTCCCTCTCCCTCTCCCTCTCCCTCTCCCTCTCCCTCTCCCCCCTCTCCTCCTTCTATCTACCTATGGAAGTCTC